TATTATACCCTGTATAGCACTTCTGGATAGATGCAAACTACATTTCGTTGCTTGTACTTGTGACGGTGCAATGACAATAAAGTTGAATTCTATTCTATTCTATTTATTTACATAATAACTTTAATTGCTGGATGTTCGGCCCCTCAGCTCTTGACCGGCAGTAACTGTGGCCCCCGGAGCAATTTAGTTGAATAGCCCTGCTCTACAGTAATGGTAGAATATTTAAAACCAAGTTTTGTCTGGTGAAACCTTTACTGGATTTGTCAGACATCAATGAAGGGTGTGTAAGACTTCATTTTGTAATAACAGCGTATTATGTATTAATGTAATAAAATCAGGCTTCAAAATGTAATAAACTCGCGCTAAAACCGCATTATGTAATAACTGACACAAAATGTAATAAAAGTCTTTAACGCATTATGTAATAACGTTATTACATTTTGCGGCAATTGTTACAAAATGTGGTAATGTAATAATTTGGTACATTATGTAATAAACAATCAAAAACCTGTATTTCTGTCTAATCAATATACTTGTAATAACTGTCATGTTGCAAATGCTGTACTACACAATTAAATCTTTATAACTTTGGTCAATAAACACCGAACTTCTCATCTTTTATTCGCATTTTCAGTCAAATTCTTGTGTATATGGATGTAATGAGCAATCTCACTGATTGTTTTCATGTTTTACGGAATCTTTCAAAAACTTAGTTTCTAATTTATTCAACATGTCAGAGCCTGTAGGACGTTAAAAACTATTATTAACATCAAATATTCACTTCCAACCCACTCTGTTGCTAGAAACAAGTTCTTCAACCCTCATTTCCTTCTGATACATGGCCGTGGCTGATGGTCCACCTGCACCCCCACCCCCGCGTGTGATGGAAACAGTTTTTGTTTTTTTACAAAAATTACAGATTTTTAAGGCACATTATACTGGTAAACATCTGAAGGTGTTGACATGTACAACTAACTTTTAGATATATTTTGAGAGTTGTCTACAAAGTGGAATAATTTCTGTAACAGGGATCAGGACTGTAAATTTGAAAATGTAAATAAAGATGAGAAGTTCGGTATTTATTGACCAAAGTTCTAAAGATTTAATTATGTAGTATTTGCAACATGACAGTTATTACAAGTATATTGATTAGGATGAACAGAAATACTGGTTTTTGATTGCTTATTACATAATGCACCAGATTGTTACACCACCACATTTTGCAACAATTGCTGCAACATGTAAGAACGTTATTACAAAATGTTTTGAAGACTTTTATTACATTTTGCATCAATTATTACATAATGCGGTTTTAGCATGAGTTTATTACATTTTGAAGCCTGATTTTATTGCATAAATACATAACACGCTGTTATTACTAAATGAGGTCTTACAGGGCAATTAAAGCACATTTTAGGAGGAAACAAAATGAAAGCTTGTAAAGCTAAAGCTAATTRTTGTAAAGCTAATTCAAGCTAATTCAACCCATGGTCTCTGATATATGAATGTATACAGTATGTGTTAGTGTGTGTGAAAGGGTGAAAGTTATGGGATCAATCTTGTGCCAGCAGGAATTGAATTTGAATTGCTCAGATTGAATCTGAATGTGCATAATTTGAAATTTAATGCACTGGTTTGACAATGAATTTTACTAAATTGAAACTGATTTTAGTGGTTTAAAACCGAATTTAAAGTTTTGAATTTGAATTAATTTGCTTTGAAACTGTATTTTGGTTTATTAAAAATTTAGTTTGACGACTTTCAATTTCAGTTCCATAATTCAGATTTTTGTTTCACACATCCTGGTCCTTGAGAAAGTCAGCCAGAGCAATCAAACACAGATCCACAAATTTATGTTTCACTTTGGTGACACTTCCTTTTTTGGTTGATGCAATGCACCGTAAAAGTGACAAAAACAGACAAACTTATTTCATTGCAGTGATTAATTTTACCTATATGTAGAAAATATTACATTTACATCACT